TGTGTGTGTGTGTGTGTGTGTGTGTGTGTGTGGTTGCCAGCCCATTCCGTGGTATGTCGCCATGTGTTTACTATGTCACGCCAACATGATCACCGATATTCATCCCGTCTCCCCCTTCTCCCTCCTCCTCCCCCTCCTCCACCCCATCCACACCAGAATCACACACAAAAACAACACCATCATATGCAGTATACTGTTACCCACATATCTATCTTCTTATCTCCCTTATACCAACACATATGCTCCCTTTGGCCCGAAGAGAGTAGACGGCACAAGCGGCGTATCAGCGGTGCGCGACAAGCGTCAGACGGTGAGCAGGGGAGGGGGGGGGGAGGGGGGGGGGAGGGGGGGGACGGGACAGGTGGGCACACCTCTCTACACCTCTCGGACAAGCCATGGCAGAGCAGCAGCTGCGGTTCCGGGGGACTGTCATTCGGGGCTTTGGGCGTGGGTCGAAGGAGCTGGGCTGTCCCACAGGTACGGAGTTTGGGGAAGGCAGTGACGGGTCGCATGGAGGGGAAGGGGAAGGTGGGTGGACTCATTGAGGGAAGGGGTATGGGGCATGGGTATGGGTATGGGTATGGGTATGGGGTATGGGCATGGGTTATGGTGATGGTGATGGTGATGGTGATGGTGATGGCGATGATGCTCAACGCATCGATGGCGGCATTGCTGGTGGCTAACGTATCGATGGCGGCATTGCTGGTGGCCAACGCATCGATGGCGGCATTGCTGGTGGCTAACGTATCGATGGCGGCATTGCTGGTGGCCAACGCATCGATGGCGGCATTGCTGGTGGCCAACGCATCGATGGCGGCATTGCTGGTGGCCAACGCATCGATGGCGGCATTGCTGGTGGCTAACGTATCGATGGCGGCATTGCTGGTGGTGATGTTGCCGGGGGCATGCATGCGGCGTGTGGGCGACATGCGGGCCTCGGGGAAACAGCCAACCTCGACGTCAACTCGTTCCCCTGGCTCGACAACTGCGCCATCGGGGTTTACTACGGCTGGGCCTCAGTGCCGGCTGCTCGGCCCGGCGCGGTGCTACCGGCTGTTGTCTCGGTCGGGTATAACCCGCACTACGGGAACACGACCAAGACGCTCGAGGTCCACATCATGGACGAGTTCGAATCTGACTTTTACGACTCGGTCCTCAACCTTGTCCTCGTCGGTTATATTCGGCCCATGGAAAAGTACGACTCGCTCGACGCACTCATCGCAGCCATCGACGCCGACAAGGCTTTTGCTGCCGACAAGCTTGCCGGCGACGCCTGGGCCGAGCTCAAGGCCGATGCCTTCTTCTCCGCCACCGACGAGTCCGACGGCTGGCAGGAAGCCAATCCTGACGAGCCCGTTTTTGCCGCTCCGCCTGCCACCGCTGCCGAGACATCATCATGACCATCCCCCGCCTGCGGCCTTCGAATGGGGCGTCTCCGCCGAGTTTCCGGCTGCAGCACGCACCCCCGCCCGCCGCTGCGCCGCGCCGCCGCGCCGTCACGCATCCGATCGTAGCCATAGCCCCCCATCGATCATCACATACAGGCACACAGCCATCCCCTTCCCCCTCTCCCTGACCCCAACTTGGCCATCGGCCGCCTGTCCGCCCACAGCCGCCAGGTTGTCGGCAGCGTGCCAGGAGACGGGACAGCTGACTCGAAAGGGGACGGAGGCCATGGCTTTGAGACAAGCCCGCAGCCTCTTTGTCGCATGTATGGCGTGTTTGCTCCTTGCCAGTGCGGCATGGGCCACTAAGACCGTCTCGTGCGACCAAGGCTCCGGCATGCTGCTGCCCGAGGTGCGTGGCCACCTGGCGTGTCGTGGGATGGGGAGGGGGAGGAGGGAGAGGGAGGCGGCGGCTTGCGGTGGGCGGCTGTCACACTGCCAATTTCGTGTCGGGCAGATGCCAGCCGTTGAGGGCGTGATGGGCAGCTGGGGAGGGGATTTGGAGCGGTGGCAGGATGAGAGGGGAGCGGGAGTGGGATGCGTGTGTGTGAATGTGTGGCTTATGGGGTGTGATGGGCGGATGTGGGATGAGTAGGTCATGCTGACGCACATCAGAGTCAAGCCGCAGCTCGTGCTCACGCCGTACTACAACAACTCGCTGTGGGCAAGCAACCTGACCATTTCGCAGCGGATCCACACGCCGAGCCACGGGTGGCGGCCGTGGGTAGTCGGGCACGTGGCGACGGAGTTGGCGAACGGGACGCGTGTGCTCGATCACGACGTGCCGTCGTTTGTTGTCAACTCGGCGGGGATGGTCCGGCTGGAGGTCATTGTCCGTGCGGCCGGAAGCACGGACTCGCTCTGTGGCTTTACCACGATCCGGCGGGTGCTTCCGGGGTGGGTCTCGGTCCTCCCTCCGATGCTGACGACTGTGGTGGCGATTGCCTTCCGGCAGGTCCTCCTCGCGCTGTTCTCGGGCGTCTGGCTGGCGGCGTTTCTGCTCAACCGGCTCGACCCGCTCGAGGGTCTGCTGCGGTCGGCAGACACGTACTGGGTGCAGGCTATCGAGGGCTCGGGTCACCCCGGCGTCATTCTGTTCACCTTTTTCCTCGGCGGGTGCATCGGGATTGTGTCCAAGATGGGCGGGACGCTCGGGCTGGCCAAGGTAGTGACCAAGCTGACCAAGTCGTCGTTTTCGGCCAAGGTCTGTACGCTTGCCATGGGCCTTGTCATCTTCTTTGATGACTATTCGTCAATTCTAATTGTGGGCTCGACGATGAAGCCAATTCTGTCGCGGCTCGCGGTCTCGCCGGCCAAGTTTGCCTTTCTCATCCATGTCATGGGCGCGTGCCTGGCGTCGTTTGCGCCGGTCTCGTCGTGGGTCGGCGTGGAGGTCGGCTACATTCAGACGCAGTACGAGCAGTTGGGGCTCGACGGCGATGCGTTTGTCATTTTCCTGCAGACCATCCCGTACCGGTTCTTCCCTGTCCTCATGATTGTCTTTGTTTGGATCCTCACGCTAATGCGGCGCGACTTTGGGCCGATGCTGGCACTCGAGGAGGATGCGCTGGCGGAGCAGGAGGCGGTGTCGCGACGGCGGACCGACTCGTCGATGTCGATGGCGTCATCGCGGCGCGGCATGTCTATCAACTCGGCCAAGTATGCACTGCGGTCGGGCGAGGTCGGCGGTGGGCTCGGATACTCGGTGGATCCTGTGCTCGGCACGCCGCTTTCCCCGAAGAGACGACCGGCGACCCGATTCTTGTCCGCGGGCTCTCGTCGAACGAGACGAGCATGCGGGTGGGCGACGAGCCGCGACTGCTGTCCGGGGCGAGCTCGGACAGTGGTTCAGGCGACGGGGCCGGGGCTGGTGACGGCGGGGCGCTGGCCCCCAAGCCGGGCGCGCCGCAGCGCTGGTTCAACGCTGCCATTCCATTTGGCATCATCATTGTGGTCACGTTTGTGGGCATGTACCTCGACGGGTACTACACGCTGCGCGGCGAGAAGAACCCGCCGCCGCGGACGCTGGTCAACATCTTCTCCAACGCCAACTCGATCGACGCGCTGCTCTGGGCGTCGCTGTTGGGCACGATGGCGGCGCTCTTCCTCGCGCTACTGCAGTGCATTCTCACGCTGTCTGAGGCCATGGAGGCATGGGTCGAGGGCGTCAAGGACATCCTGGAGGCGATCATCATCCTGCTGCTGGCGTGGGCCCTCGGCGGAGTCATCTTTGATTTGCAAACGGCTGCATTCCTCTCGGAGATCTGCAATGGCATCCCGGTCGGCATCCTTCCGCTCATCATCACCCTCACGGCCTTCCTCATGTCGTTTGCCACGGGCTCTGCTTTTGGCACCATGGGCATCCTCTTCCCTCTTGTCGTCCCGCTCGCCTACACGCTATCGACCAAGTCAACCGCGCACGCAGCGTCCAACGTCGTCCTCCAGTCGGTCTCGTCGGTGCTGTCGGGCGCGGTGTTTGGCAACGTCATTGCGCCGATTGCCGATAACTCGGTGCTCGCGTGTATGGTCTCTGGTGCCGACATTCCGCTGCACATCTCGTCGATGGCGTTGTACGTCGGCATTGTCTCGGTCGTCTCGCTGCTGGGCGGGACCATTCCGTGCGGGCTCGGGTGGTACCCGTCGTGGGTCGGCCTCCTCATCTGTACAGCCATCCTCATTGGCATTGTCTTTGTGTTTGGCAAGGTGCCATCGGTAGACCGGGGGATGGCGCGGATCAGCGAGCGGACCGCGCTTCTCAGCGGAGCGGTGGCCGAGTCGGGCGGCGTCGACTTTTACGAGACCGATGTGCCCCAGAAGCGGCGCATCTTCTGTCCGTGCTGGAGGTCGAAGTAAAGTGATTTAGCTCTGCGTCGCCGACGCATACACCGAGTCAATGGTGGCGAGTAGGTGTGAGAGGTCAGGCGCGGGCGGCGTCGGCGGGAGGGCGCGGAGCTGCTGCAAGAGTGCGGCAGCCGAAGTCGCTGAGGCGGCAGCGGCGGTGCGGAAAGTGTTCACCTCCGAGTGGGTCCTAAGCAGGTCGGTCTCGAGCGTGGCCTTGGCCTCGACAGCAGCCTCAAGCTCTGCCTCGAGCATGGTCTTGGCGTCAGCAGCTGACTGCAGGGTCTCAATCTCGGCGCGAGCAGCCATAAGCTCTGCCTCGAGCGTGGCATTGGCGTCGGCAGCAACGGACTGCAGGGTCTCGATCTCGGCGCGGGCAGCCTCAAGCTCTGCCTCGAGCGTGGCATTGGCATCGGCAGCAACGGACTGCAGGGTCTCGATCTTGGCGCGGGCAGCATCGAGTTCGGTCTCGAGCGTGGCCTTGGCCTCAACAGCAGCCTCAAGCTCTGCCTCGAGCGTGGCCTTGGCGTCAGCAGAAGCTTCAAGCTCTACCTCGAGCGAGGCCTTGGCCTTGGCAGTAGCCTCAAGCTCTGCCTCGAGCGTGGCCTTGGCGTCAACAGCTGACTGCAGGGTCCCGCTCTCGGCGCGGGCAGCCTCAAGCTCTGCCTCGAGCGTGGCCTTGACGTCAGTCGCGGACTGCAGGGTCTCGATCTCGGTGTGGGTAGCTTCGAGCTCTGCCTCGAGCGTAGCCTTAGCGTCAGCAGTAGCTTCAAGCTCTGCCTCGAGCGAGGCCTTGGCCTCGACAGTAGCCTCAAGCTCTGCCTCGAGCGTGGCCTTGGCGTCAACAGCTGACTGCAGGGTTTCGATCTCGGCGCGGGCAGCCTCGAGTTCTGCCTCGAGCGTGGCCTTGGCGTCAGCAGCTGACTGCAGGGTCTCGATCTCGGTGCGGGCAGCCTCGAGATCGGTCTCGAGTGTGGCCTTGGCCTCGACAGCAACGGACTGCAGGGTCTCGATCTCGGCGCGGGCAGCCTCAAGCTCTGCCTCGAGCGCGGCCTTGGCCTCGACAGTAGCCTCAAGCTCTGCCTCGAGCGTGGCCTTGGCGTCAACAGCTGACTGCAGGGTTTCGATCTCGGCGCGGGCAGCCTCAAGCTCTGCCTCGAGCGTGGCCTTGGCCTCGACAGTAGCCTCAAGCTCTGCCTCGAGCGTGGCCTTGGCGTCAACAGCTGACTGCAGGGTTTCGATCTCGGCGCGGGCAGCCTCGAGTTCTGCCTCGAGCGTGGCCTTGGCGTCAGCAGCTGACTGCAGGGTCTCGATCTCGGTGCGGGCAGCCTCGAGATCGGTCTCGAGTGTGGCCTTGGCCTCGACAGCAACGGACTGCAGGGTCTCGATCTCGGCGCGGGCAGCCTCGAGATCAGTCTCGAGCGTGGCCTTGGCCTCGACAGTAGCCTCAAGCTCTGCCTCGAGCGTGGCCTTGGCGTCAACAGCTGACTGCAGGGTTTCGATCTCGGCGCGGGCAGCCTCGAGTTCTGCCTCGAGCGTGGCCTTGGCCTCGACAGCAGCCTCGAGATCGGTCTCGAGTGTGGCCTTGGCGTCAACAGCTGACTGCAGGGTTTCAATCTCGGCGCGGGCAGCCTCAAGCTCTACCTCGAGCGTGGCCTTGGCCTCGACAGCAGCCTCGAGTTCGGTCTCGAGCGTGGCCTTGGCCTCGACAGCTGACTGCAGGGTCTCGATCTCGGTGCGGGCAGCCTCGAGATCGGTCTCGAGCGTGACCTTGGCCTCGACAGCAGCTTCAAGCTCTGCCTCGAGCGTGGCATTGGCGTCAACAGCTGACTGCAGGGTTTCGATCTCGGCGCGGGCAGCCTCGAGTTCTGCCTCGAGCGTGGCCTTGGCGTCAGCAGCTGACTGCAGGGTCTCGATCTCGGTGCGGGCAGCCTCGAGATCGGTCTCGAGTGTGGCCTTGGCCTCGACAGCAACGGACTGCAGGGTCTCGATCTCGGCGCGGGCAGCCTCGAGATCAGTCTCGAGCGTGGCCTTGGCCTCGACAGTAGCCTCAAGCTCTGCCTCGAGCGTGGCATTGGCGTTAGCAGCTGACTGCAGGGTCTCGATCTCGGCGTGGGCAGCCTCGAGATCAGTCTCGAGCGTGGCCTTGGCCTCGACAGCAGCCTCGAGATCAGTCTCGAGCGTGACCTTAGCGTCAGCAGCTGACTGCAGGGTCTCGATCTCGGCGCGAGCAGCCTCGAGATCGGTCTCGAGTGTGGCCTTGGCCTCGACAGCAACGGACTGCAGGGTCTCGATCTCGGCGCGGGCAGCCTCAAGCTCTGCCTCGAGCGTGGCCTTGGCCTCGATAGCAGCCTCGAGTTCGGTCTCGAGCGTGGCCTTGGCGTCAGCAGCTGACTGCAGGGTCTCGATCTCGGTGCGGGCAGCCTCGAGATCGGTCTCGAGTGTGGCCTTGGCCTCGACAGCAGCTTCAAGCTCTGCCTCGAGCGTGGCCTTGGCGTCAGCAGAAGCTTCAAGCTCAACCTCGAGCGAGGCCTTGGCCTCGACAGTAGCCTCAAACTCTGCCTCGAGCGTGACCTTGGCCTCGACAGCAGCTTCAAGCTCTGCCTCGAGCGTGGCATTGGCGTCAACAGCTGACTGCAGGGTTTCGATCTCGGCGCGGGCAGCCTCAAGCTCTACCTCGAGCGTGGCCTTGGCCTCGACAGCAGCCTCGAGTTCGGTCTCGAGCGTGGCCTTGGCCTCGACAGCTGACTGCAGGGTCTCGATCTTGGCGTGGGCAGCCTCGAGTTCGGTCTCGAGCGTGGCCTTGGCCTCGACAGCAGCTTCAAGCTCTGCCTCGAGCGTGGCATTGGCGTCAACAGCTGACTGCAGGGTTTCGATCTCGGCGCGGGCAGCCTCGAGTTCTGCCTCGAGCGTGGCCTTGGCCTCGACAGCAACGGACTGCAGGGTCTCGATCTCGGCGCGGGCAGCCTCAAGCTCTGCCTCGAGCGTGGCCTTGGCCTCGACAGCAGCCTCGAGATCAGTCTCGAGCGTGGCCTTGGCCTCGACAGCAGCATCGAGATCAGTCTCGAGCATGACCTTAGCGTCAGCAGCTGACTGCAGGGTCTCAATCTCGGCGTGAGCAGCTTCAAGCTCTGCCTCGAGCGTGGCATTGGCATCGGCAGCAACGGACTGCAGGGTCTCGATCTCGGCGCGGGCAGCCTCAAGCTCTGCCTCGAGCGTGGCCTTGGCCTCGACAGCAGCCTCGAGATCGGTCTCGAGTGTGGCCTTGGCGTCAACAGCTGACTGCAGGGTTTCGATCTCGGCGCGGGCAGCCTCAAGCTCTACCTCGAGCGTGGCCTTGGCCTCGATAGCAGCTTCAAGCTCTACCTCGAGCGTGGCCTTGGCCTCAACAGCAGCCTCAAGCTCTGCCTCGAGCGTGGCCTTGGCCTCGACAGCAGCCTCGAGTTCGGTCTCGAGCGTGGCCTTGGCGTCAGCAGAAGCTTCAAGCTCTACCTCGAGCGAGGCCTTGGCCTCGACAGTAGCCTCAAGCTCTGCCTCGAGCGTGGCCTTGGCGTCAACAGCTGACTGCAGGGTCTCGCTCTCGGCGCGGGCAGCCTCAAGCTCTGCCTCGAGCGTGGCCTTGACGTCAGTCGCGGACTGCAGGGTCTCGATCTCGGTGTGGGTAGCTTCGAGCTCTGCCTCGAGCGTAGCCTTAGCGTCAGCAGTAGCTTCAAGCTCTGCCTCGAGCGAGGCCTTGGCCTCGACAGTAGCCTCAAGCTCTGCCTCGAGCGTGGCCTTGGCGTCAACAGCTGACTGCAGGGTTTCGATCTCGGTGCGGGCAGCCTCGAGATCAGTCTCGAGCGTGGCCTTGGCCTCGACAGCAGCCTCGAGTTCGGTCTCGAGTGTGGCCTTGGCCTCGACAGCTGACTGCAGGGTCTCGATCTCGGCGTGGGCAGCCTCGAGATCGGTCTCGAGCGTGGCCTTGGCCTCGACAGCTGACTGCAGGGTCTCGATCTCGGTGCGGGCAGCCTCGAGATCAGTCTCGAGCGTGGCCTTGGCCTCGACAGCAGCATCGAGATCGGTCTCGAGCGTGGCCTTGGCGTCAACAGCTGACTGCAGGGTCTCGATCTCGGCGCGGGCAGCCTCGAGTTCGGTATCGAGCGTGGTCTTGGCCTCGACGACTGACTGAAGAGCCGCGATCTCGGCGCGGGCTGCCTCGAGATCGGCCTCAAATCTCGCTTGTTTGGCGAGTAGCTCAGCGCGTGCAGAGACCAACTCGTCCTCGACAGATGAGTTGTTCTTTGATTGCTCGCGCAGCGCGTCGATGACAGAGCTCTGGACTTGGATCTTGCTGCTCATTTCCAGAGCTTCCAACTGTCGCTGCTCGGCATTAGCCTTAGCGTCAACAAGCTCAGCCTTGGCGCTATCCAGCTCTGCCTCCCACTCGGCGGCGTGCTCGGCTCTAACTTTGACATCAGTCATGGCCACAGCCAGCTGAGCCTCCAGCTCGATCACGCGCCCAGCATCGGCCTCGGCCTTGGCCTTTGCCACATCTAGTTCAGCCTTCAGCTCGGCCACACGCTCAGCATCGGCCTTAGCATCGGCAAGCTGAGCCTCGGCCGCCTCAAGTTGTACAATAGCACGCTTGGCATCGGCCTTGGCCTCCCCAAGCTCAACCTTGGCCTTCTCCAGCTCGGCTTCAACCTGGCCTACCTGCAAAACTTGGTCCTCGGCCGCTGCCAGCGCAGACTGCACCTCGGCAAGCGCCGCCAGTGTCTGCTGCTGCGCTGTCTCTGCGCTTGCCACGTCAGCCTCGAGCTCACCCACGTGCGCAACCTCGGCCTCGAGCACCGCCACTCGCTGCGCATCGGCCTCTAGACTTGCGCATCTCGCCCTCAGAGCCCGCATCTCCGACTCGAGTGCCACCTGCGCCTCATGCGCAACCTGGAGCTCGGCCTCGAGCCCAAACCGCTCGTCCACCGCCGCGCGCAACGAGCTCACGACCCTTGCCCGCTGCTCGGCCTCGGCCATCAGCATGTCGACACGAGACTCGAGCCCAAACTTATCTTCCATCTCGGCACGGAGCTTGCTGATGACTTCGTCCTGCATCGTCGTCTTGGACTCCAGCCGCGCCCTCGACTGCTCGGCCTGTGCAAGCTCCTGCTCGCGCATCTCGAGTTGGGCCTGAAGCGCCTCGCTCTCGCGCCACGCATCTTGCGCCGCCGCCGCCCGATGGGCTTCCTGTAACTTGCCGCGCAGGACCTCGATGCGCTTTTCAAGCCCCTTTTGATCCTCCGTCAGCTCCTCCAGCTCCAGCTCCAGCTGCTCGACATGCTCCTCTCTGGCACGCAACTGCATCCGCACATCGCGGTTCCGTGCGCGAAGGCTCTCGATCTCGGTCGCCGCTGCCGTGCACCTATGGCAAATGCTGCTGCTGCCTCCCTCCCTGACATCGCCTGCCTTGACGTCGTCCACAAGCCCCTCGAGCTTGGCCTTCAGCCACTCGGCGCCACGCCGAGCCTGCACAACGTCTTCCAGCTCCATCACTCGCGTGCGGAGCTTGGCAATGACGCCCACCTGGGCTTCAATCGTCTCGAACGCCTGTACCTGCGCCAGTTGCGCACCTGCCTCGACCTCGCGGATTCGTACCGCCAGCTGCCCAGCTTCAGCCTGCGCTAGCGACGCACTCGAGCTTGCCTGCCGCTCCATCGCGCTCGCCATCGCCGCAATCCGCGCTTGCGCCGCTGCGTGCGCCTCTGCCACCTCGCTCCGCGCCTTGACTAAAGCATCCGACAGCCTGCTCACCGACGCCTCAGCGGCTTCGGCGGCAGCCACCGCATCGCGCGTGTGCTGTCGCTCCTCGGCTAGCATCCGCTGCGATTCACGCAGTTCGCGCTTGAGCCCGGCAATCTCCAGGTTCGCGGCAACAAGCTTCCCTGCACTCTCTTCGGCGTGCTCAATGAGCTCGCTGCGCTCCGCCTCGCGCGAGCTGAGTTCTGCCACCTCGCGCCGCAGACGGGCGTTCTCTTGCCGCAGCCGCACGCCCTCGACCTTGGCGTCGCTGGACGTCAGGCTCGAGCCCTGCCCTATTCCAGGCTCACTATCACGCTCACGTTGACGCCCATGCTCGCGTCTGCGCTCGCGCTTTCGCCGCTGTCGGTTCAGCTCGTCCTCGGTCGCCCGCGCGCGCTTCAGCAGCGCGTCGCGGCTTCCGGCCTCACCCTCTCCTGCGAGCATCGCACGCAGCTGCGCCTCACGTGCCCGCGACTCCTCCAGCTCGGCGGCGAGAGCAGACGCCCGCGCCCGCTCCGACGCCCACTTTTGCTTCACCCGCATGGCCGCTGCCGCCGCATCAGCTGCCTCACGGTGCATCGTCGGCGAGTTGAGCGCCAGCGCCTGCATCGTCAGCGGGCTGCTCCGTGCCACCTTGGATGGCGAGTCCAGGCTTGCCTCACGCATCGACCACTGGGCCAAGAGCTGCAATCTCCGCGCCTTGGCCGAAGCCGTCGGCGCCGGAGAGCGGGCAATCGCCGGTGACGACGACGACGATGACGACGATGACGACGACGACACCGACACCGGGGACGTCGCCCTCGCTCCGTCCGAGCCACTCGCCAGACCCATACCACTTCCTCTCACTTCCCGCCTTCGCCACGGCCTCCCTCCAGCCTCTCCACCCACAGCCCTTTGCTTTGCCGTCTTTCTAGCCCTCCGACCTGCACCACCACTACCAGTGCCCTCGTTGCGCTCTTGGCGCCATCGACGTCCGCCGCCGGCGCCCGTCCGTAGCTGCGTGGCCCAACCCCCGCACCCACCCATCCACCCATCCACCCACGCCCAAGCCCACGCCTGTGAGTCCCCCTCCTCCCCCTCCTCCACTAGCTCTCAACCCACTCCGAGTCCTACGTACCCTGTCGCGTGACATGGCTCTCACTTGCTCGCGGCACCCGTGTCACGGTCGAGTCTGGTGCTGACCGCTGCCGACGACACGCCGCGCCACTCACACTCAGTCATCGCCCCTACTCTGTCGCGGATCATCGCTGGTTGACTCGCTGGTTTACCGCACACACACTGGCTTGCGCCGATTAGTTGTCGAAGCCCGGGCCAAGGCGATGGATGGTCTCCTTGTCCATGACCGACTCCAGGTTGTCGAGCTGGTCCCACCACTTGGGGAGGAGGAAGTTGTCGACGACGAGGCGGAACCACGGGGTGATCTTGAGCTCGCCCGACTCGTCAGCGTCGGCCTGGGCAAGGAGCTCAACGAGCTCGTCCTTGGACACATAGCGGATGTCCTTGACCTCGTTGGCCACCGGCTTGATGGTGTCGATGTCGAGCTGGCACATGAGGATGTAGTCGATCTCGTGCTCGCCCCACAGGCCGTCCGACGCAGCCTTGTAGTGCAGGCGGGTGAGCCAGTGGAAGGCCTCGAGCGGCACCTCCTCGGCCGGAATGCCAAGCTCGTGCTCGAGCTTGCGGATCGCCGCACGCTTGACCCCGAGCGCATCGCCGTCATCGGCAAGCTCGGCCTCGCGGTAGAGCGGGTGCGAGCAGCAGGTGTTGGTCCAGTAGCCCGGGAAGGTGATCTTCTCGTCGGCGCGCTGCTGGAGCAGGAGCTTGCCCTCCGAGTTGAAGAGGAAGACCGAGAAGGCCCGATGGAGCAGACCCTTCTCCTCGATCACCGTGTTGAGATGGCACGTCTTCTTCGACTCCTTGCCCACCACGTTGTCAGCCTCGTCGAGGAGGATGCACTCCTCCGCCATCAGCTCCTTCTGCACCTCGTCGTAATCACCGGCAGCCAGCACATCAACCTCGGACATTCTGTCTGCCATGTCGTCCGCACATCCGCCATTCCATCCGTCATACCCCATCTTCTGTAAGTCTCCCCCATGCCCATCCCCTCCCTCATCCCCCCTCCAAAGGGATCAGGCCACATCCACACTCGGTGACTAGCCAGCACTTCCCGAGCCCAGCCAGCAGCCTCACCGCCTTGCGCAAGCCCCACCATGACCATGACTACTCCCGGCACTGTGTGACTATCAATACCCATGCCCCCCCCCCCCCCCCAACTCGCTCTCGTCAAACACACGCCCACCCGCAACCATCCCTCTTCATCCCCTCCGTCCCTCAAACATACTTTCTTTCAACTGTTTCAAGTCGGGTGCCGTTGACCGAGGCAGTTCCGTTCGGCGCCCGCCACCGCCACAACCAGCTGTCTCCTCGCTCGGCTCCATGGGCAAGGTTCCTTGATCTTTCTTCGTACTTGGTGGAGCATGCTCGTTGTGCCTACCTTGGAGGTGACAAGAGACCCAGGCTCTTGATCTTGTGCTGCGGAGAGTAGCGTGAGGTCAGCGGAACGCGCGAACGGGGCATCCGCGACGACGACTGGGTCGTGGTGCTCACGGTGGAGGCGGCAAAGGCCGATGAGACGCGTGAGGCTATAGCCGAAACTGGGACCCGATACTTTCGGCTGGTGGCGGCTCCGGTGCCCGATCGGGAGGTTCCGGTCGGGTACGGCCGATCGAGCCGCTCCTCGAGGAGTTTGGACCGCGACGGCGGCTCAAAGACAGTGCGAGCAGTCCCGCCGGACGTGTGCGGCCTGCTGCGGGATGTGCGCGTGCGTGCGGCGCTGGACGCCGCCACCGACGATCGAGCTTGCGGCGGATCCCATGACGGCAGCGCCCGTGTGCGGTTGCCAAGGGCGCCGTATGCATTGGCCACTCCCTTGGAGTCTGACGAGGCCGCAACGTGTCGCGGCTGGGTGAACGCTGTGGTCAGGTCGCGCGCACCCCGAAAGTGCGCATCGGTCTCGGCCTGCTTGATCAGCGCCGGCGACTTGAAAGCTGAGACCAGCGCGCGCTTGACCGGCGACGACGTCCGCGCCCGCTGCGGCGCCGCCGAGCTCGCTGGCCGCGACGACATGATGCCGCCACCGAGCTTGCCACCGATCACCGACCGCTTTTTGATCTTGACAGTCTCTGCGGCAAACGGGCCCGAGTCGAGCTTGCGCAGAAAGTCGTTGTGAAGTTTGGCGAGGTCAGACTCTGTCGACCGCGCCGTCTTGGCGCCGTCGGCCCGTGAGACCCCAAGCGCGGCGTTAACGGCGTCAAACAGCGGCGGCGGAGCCGGAGGCATAAGCCCACTACTGGTCTGCGGACGGCCCCCGGCAGCAAGCTGGGCCCGGATCCGGGCCTGGTACGTCGGCGGTGGTGGTGGTGCACCACCAACACCTGGACGAGCCTGACTCGGTCGCCGCGACGAGCGGGTTGTCACAGTTCGCGGCTGCGGTGCAATCACCGGCGGCGCAAAGCCGAGCGTGGATGAGACCGTGGCGCGCGCAGTAGCCGCCGGTGCCGGCGGCGCCGACGACGCCTTCTCGCCCGCACGATCAAATACCGAAGGCAGCGACGTAAGAAGATTCGGGGCTTTGAACACATCGGTCCGGGTCTTGGTCTCTTTTTGAAGCTCAGCGCTCCAGGATGCAACAAGCTCCGATGCTGATGGCTGGCCGCGGCTTGCCACAGACGCCGTCACGCTCGGCGCCGGCCGCATGTTGGGCATCCGTTGGCGTGTCTTGCCCGATGGTGAGAACGCCAGCCGCGGCTCGTCGCGGTAGACCCTTTCCCGCCGCGCTGGCGACGACGCCTGGCTCCTGGCCTCGGCCTTGGCCAGCGCTGCCACCGTCGAGCCGCCGGTACCCTCGTTGGCCGGCGGATGGAGAAGGCCTGAGCGCGGAAGCTGGAAGAGCGAGGCTGATTCGGACTCGGAGGCCTTGCCGCGCGCCCGTGCCTTGTCGAGCTTGCGGGGCTGGCCCGAGCTGTCGACGCGTGCGGTGCCAAAGGTCGGTGGGGCGTGGACCATGGCGAGGTGCTTGGGAGGGGCGGGAAGGTGCTTCGGCCCAACCTTGCGGGCGTACGGATCGCCGAGCTGGGCCTCCTTGGGCGTATCGAGAGTGTCTGTAGCCGCCTTGGCCTTGGCCGATCCGTCGAGCCGCATCGACGTCGCCCGGGTCTCGGTCACCAACGACGGGCGGAGCATGGGCACAACCGGCGGCGACGGCGGGCGCTGATCCGGCCGCAGCACCGTCCGCGGATGCCGCCGCAACGAGATTCCGGTTTCAGAGGCAGCTGACTCGAGCAGCGGTGCCTTGGGCGCCGGCGATGGCGCAGCTGGCCGCTGGGCGAGGCCGCGCTCGGCCTCCCGGAGCTTATTCAGCTTCTCCTCAAACGCCTTGAACTTTGACGAAGGCGGCGAGTACGCCACCGAGTTGTGGAGCAAAGACGACGGCGGGCGTGGCGGCGACTCGCCACCGCCGTTGATGGCGGAGATGGAGGCGACCGACGGGAGATCAAAGAGTGAAACCGAGTCGTCGCGGGTGGTCTTGCCCGTGGCCCTGCCACCGCCTCGGCGGGCTGCCGCCGGCAGCTGCTCACCGAGAAACGAGACCGATGCGTTCTCGTCACCACCAACATGCTCGCTGAACAGATCACTGTTACTAGCAGATGCTAGACTGGCTGCTGACGGTGAGCTCCGGCGTGTTGCCGCCAGGCTCGCCGACGACGATGCTGGGGTGTGGTGGGCGGCGAGGACGGGCGAGGCCAGGAAGTCCATGGACGGCTCGGACTCCATGACACAGTCGAGGTAAAAGGTGGAGGGGGAGTAAGGATCAGACCTCCTGGGAATGTGCTGTGCCCAGCCGGTGGCTGCTCCAGTGAGGTGTGCCCGCGTGTCCCTCCCCGCTGCCGTGTGAGTGGCTGTGGCTGTGGCTGCTGTGGCTGCCAACTCGCGCGCGCCCTTGCCTCCTCAACCGAATCCATTGTGGCAGACATGGCGTTTATGGTTGGCGGACAAAACATTTAAACATTTCAAATTTTGTGGCTGTGGAGGCATTTGCGCGCGCGAACGACTGGCGTTCGCAGTTGATTGAAAGGTGACTTTGCAGGAGAGCGCATTTGGCGGGGAGGGGGGGGGGGAAGGCTGGGAAGGGCGGGAAGACGGCTTGGTGGGTATGGGCATACACCGCACTGGGTAGCAACCAGGAAGCGGAAGGAGGAAACAGAGCAAGGACAGCTCCGGCCGTACCACTTTGAGGTTCAGGCTCAGGCTGCGTGTGCGAGTGCGAGTGCGAGTGTGAGTGCGTGTGCGTGTGCGTGTGCGCTGTGGTGTTGACGGCTATCGACCGAGCGAGTGCGCGCGAGACCGACGAACAAGATGCGGCGGCAGACGCGATCAATGGTGGACAAGGAGAATGCAGGTGCTGGACGTGCGGGAACCGCGGGCAGGGTTCCGCTCTCGGCCCGGCTTAAGCAGCGTGGCCTCGGCGGCGGGCTGAGCCACACCAACACCTCTGGCGGCGGGGCGGGCGGGAGCGGACTGGGAACGTTGTCGGGGAGGATGGCGGCCAAGAAGGCGCTGGGCGTCCGCGGGGAGGGAGGCAAGGGGGTTGGGGGATCGGCTGAGGCTGGCGGGGCTGCGGCAGCGCCGGCCGAGCTGGCCTTTCTCCGGCCCAAGGTGCGGACGACGACGCAGACGTACAAGGCGCGGATGGAGCGCGTCGAGGCGGTGGAGGCTGCACCGCAGGCGCCACAGCCGTGGCTCAAGCTGGTGGCGTACGAACAGACCAAGCCCCGGCACCGGTCGGCCATCACCCGCAACCGGTTTATGGAGCGGATTCTGGTACGCGCGACCGAGTCGATCGACCTAGCGGTGTACGCCAAGGATCCTGACACGCTCAAGCTTTGGCACATCTACCTCGACCAAGTGGTGGAGACGGCGACGCTGGAGACGCGGGCCGATGCTCTTGCGCGAGTCCGCGACGCGCTCAACTATATGAAGAACCAGTCGATTGGGACGGATGCTGCCACGTTTTACGTGTACTGGGCCGAGTTTGAGACTCAGCACGGGGGCGACGTTCCAGCGGCGCGGCAGATCTTGCTCCGCGGGCAGGCTCGTGGCGCCGAGCCGCTTGCTGAAGTCAACGCGGCGCTCAACGCGCTGCCGCCGTGCCTGGACGACAACGTGCGGCTCGGGCTTGCCGGCGACGACATCTCGGACGACGAAGACCTCATTCCATCGTCGCTGCGGCGATCGTCGCGGACGGCGTCGTCGTCAGAAAGCGGCTCGCCGGGGAAGGCGCAGGGCGCAGGCGGACGGGCCGATGCCGACGACGACCTGGAGGCGACGACCAACTTTAGCGCACCGACGCCGGCCGGCGGCGAGGACGGCGGCGAGACGCTCTCGTTTAAGGATATGGACATTGTGGAGATTATCAAGCCGCAGGTCAAGGCCGAGCTGGAAGAACTAGAGGCCGAGTCCAAGGGCGGCAACACGGCGGGCAACTCGACCAAATTTGAGTTCCGGCCGGACGACTTTGTCATTCCGCCGTTCCGCGGCACGACGGCCGAGATCAAGGCGGCAGATGCGGCGGCGGCGAGTGCGGCAGTGGCGGCCGAGAACCGGGCGCGGGCTGCAGCTGATGAAGGTGAGTCTGAAGCGACGGCTACGGCGGATGCCGACGACACGACGATTGCGGGCGGGCCGCCAGCGGCGCCGCCGTCTGCGGCCAAGAAGACGCCGCGGCGGCGTCGCGAGCTGACGCCGGCAGCGCTGACTGAGCTCCGCAAGCGGCAGCTGGGCTCGCCGGCAGCGTCGCCGCGGGCGGTCAAGCGAAGCAAGCCGCTCGACAGCGGCTCGCCGTCTGTCGAGTCCGAGTCGTCCGAGGGCTCGCCGCCAGCAGGGGCGGCGGCGACGCCTGCGCGGGCGACGCCTGCGCGAGCGACGCCTGCGCGGGCACCGCTCCAGGCACTGGTGGCGACAAACTCAGCGCAGGACATCGAGTCGACGCCGGTGGCGAACACGCAAAGCGCATCGCGGGTGATGGCGACGGTCTCGCTCTCGGGCCCGCGGCCGAGCGGGAGCGTGAGCGGGAACGGAACGCCCGGGGTTGCAGCAGCGCCGCGGTCTGCGGGTGGGGCGAGCAGCGGCGCCGGGCCGCGGTCTGCGCCGCGTGGGAGCGCGGGCAGCAGCAATGCGCTCGGCGTGCCTGCAGGCAACTGCTTTGTGATCAATGGGCGTTCTTTTGTCAAGCTGGAGATTGTGGGCAAGGGCGGGTCGTCCAAGGTGTACAAGGTCATGGCGCCGAACCGCAAGATCTACGCGTGCAAGCGAATCAAGTTCCGCGGCGAGTCGCAGGAGACGATCGAGAGCTACGTCAATGAGATCACGTTGCTGAAGCGGCTGCAGGGTCACGACAACATCATCAACTTGCTCGACTCTGAGGTCAAGGTCAAGGAGAACGAGATCTACCTGATCATGGAGTACGGCGAGACGGACTTGTCGTCGCTCCTCAAGCGGCAGCGGGCGTCATCGGCGTCGGGGCGAGTCGACGACAACTTTGTGCGATTTTACTGGCAGCAGATGCTGCAGGCCGTCCACACCATCCACGAGGAGCGGATTGTGCACGGTGACCTCAAGCCAGCCAACTTTCTGCTCGTCGACGGCCAGCTGAAGCTCATCGACTTTGGCATTGCCAAGGCCATCTCGAACGACACGACCAACATTGTCCGCGACAACCAGATCGGGACGCTCAACTACATGTCGCCCGAGGCTATCCTCGACACCAACTCGGCGAGCGGGTGCGGCGCGGGCGGGATGAAGATGAAGCTCGGGCGTGCGTCGGACATCTGGTCGCTCGGGTGCATTCTGTACCAGATGGTGTACGGCGAGTGCCCGTTTGCAGGCCTCAACGTGGTGCAGAAGCTGCAGGCCATCATCAATCCCAACTACACCATCAAGTACCCCGAGACCTCGGTGACGCCTGCGCTCGTTGACCTTGTGGCGTCGTGCCTTCGGCGCGATCCCAAGGAGCGGCTCTCGATTCCGCAGCTGCTGGACCACGCGTTTGTGCGCCCGGTCCCGCTCACCCGGGCCTCGCTCTCGGCGGTTGTGGAGGCAGTCCTGCGCTCGGGCGCCGATCTGCGCCACTCCAAGTCGGTGGCGCACCTGGCGTGGTCCGCGCTCGAGGCGGCCGGCTCCTCGCTCAACGAGCTCAACACCCGGCTCGGCGCACTGGCCGAGGTGGCCAAGCCTGCCGAGCCGCGGGCGAGTGCGGCGCCTGCTACCGCAGGTGCCGCGCTGAGCGCGTCCGCCTCGGGCCCGCCGGTTGTCCTCGACACGACCGCTATCGGCGCCCAGCGGGCGGCACTCCAGCCGCTGGCCACCTCGTCGTCTGCGCGTTGGATGAAGAGCGGCGCGTCCGGCGAGCCGGCCTCGCTTGAGTCGGTCCTCAAGGCCGGCCTGCAGCGGATGGGCAAGGCCGCCATGGAGGGCGGCGACACGACGGCCGACTTCACCTGGCAGTCGGAGGCGTGAGCCATGTAAACTTGACGACATCGACACAGCAGACGGCCGACTAGCCATCGTCGGCGACGGCCGGCGGCGGGCCAGCCTCGCCCGGCTCAGAGTCGTCCATGCCGAGGAGGGCGCGGACACGGGCGCTGGCTGAGGCGACGGCCGACGAGACGCCCGGACGGGCGACGTCGTGGATGTACGTCTTGAGCTCGGCGAGGTTGGAGACGCCTGTGGCGGCCGAGGCGGCGGCGACGGTGGAGCCGACGAGAGCAAAGGCAAGGAGCGAGCCACCGGCGAGGGCACCAAGCGCCAGCCGGGCGCTAGCCGCCCGCGACAGCGGCGGCATGTGCTCCGCGATATGCGGCGAGCGCCGCTTGGTCAGGTCGCTCAGGTCGGCCGGAGCCAGTGAGGCGGGATGGCCGGCGGCGGAGGCGGCGGCCGAGGCGGCGGCCGGTGGGGGCTTGGACGACGAGCCCGAGCGAATGAGCCCGATGCCGACGCCCACAGTGAACGAAATGGCACCGGCGCCGGCCAGTGGAGCCGCGATGGAGCTGAGGCTGAGGTCGTCCGGTAGTGATGCGGCCATAGGAGGGGAGGGGCGGGAGGGGGTGGGCGAGTTGAGTGGTCGAAGCTGTGCTGCTCAGGAATGCGATGTCGCATGCTGTGGGCAGCAACCCTAGGGGAGGGTGTGGCAACTCTATCGGAGGGTGTGTGGAGTTTGTGGTGTGTGGGGTGTGTGTGTATGGGGATGTTGTTTGTTGTGAGTGGCGTAGTGGCTTGTACGGATGGTGATGGTGATGGTGATGATGATGATCGGTACCCCTTCGATTCCTGTCGTCCGCCATCGTCCGCCATCGTCCGCCATTGCTCGCCACCATCCGCCACCATCTGCCACCATCTGCCATCATCCGCCACCATCCGCCATCGTTCGCCATCGTTCGCCATCGTTGCCTTCCCCCCCCCCCCCCCAGCACTGGCCCGTCACACCCCTCTGCATCCCAACTATGTCGGGCCGCTTCTCGTTCAACATTGTCAAGACCCTCACCGGGCCCGCTGCGCCGTTTGTGGCCGGCTTTGCCGCCACCTTTGCCCTCGTCCTCGCCATGCCCATCTCCGGTACGTTCCATCCTCTGCCCAAGCCCATGCTCAGCCACCCTGTCACCAGCGTGTGATGGCCGCCTTCCCGCAGCAGAGGCTAGCAACCTAGCCTGGACGCATGCCGTCCCCCCCTCCCTCCCCACTCTGCACAGAACATGGACCCCCACCCCTCCACCCCCACACCGAATCCCATCCCCATGCCCCATCCCATGGGCCTGGTAGAGCCCTCCCTCTCCCCTCCTCGGCCCGGCTCAATTTTTTGGACGGGCGCGACACGGCCCCCCCTCCCCCCTCCCCCACCCGCAGCCATCCCGCACCCATGCTGCCACAGGGCCTGGCGGTGGCCGTCCGCAGCGGGAGGGACTTGGCTGGCGCTTGCTCTCTATGTGCGTGGAGGCAGTGCTGAGAATGCGATGGATGCCGAAGGAGTTGGATGGTCCCATGGTCGGTGCATGGGAAGGAAGGGCGAGGGGGAGGACCGGGGGACCAAGGAGCAAGGCGCAAGCAGCTGCTGAGGGCGGGGAGAGGGGATGGGGAGAGAATGGAGGGGAGAGAGGGGGGATGGTGAGGGTGGTGATGGTGGTGGGCTACGACTGCTGCTGTCTATGCCCGCCATATTCCACCCCCTCCCCTCCCCCTCTCCAACTCATCCTCCCTCCCCTCCCTCCCTTCTCCCTCCCCTTCTCCTCCCCTCTCCTCCCCTCCCCTTCTCCTCCCCTTCTCCTCCCCTTCTCCTCCTCTCCCCTTCTCCTCTCCCCCCTTCCACCTCCCCATCCCATCGACTCGACTCACCGCCTTCCCCTCCCGCCCCTCTTTCCACGCCCACAGAGGAGGACCGCCGCATGTCCAGTACGAACCCCTCCCCGTCCCCCTCTCTCCTCCCTCTCTCCCCTCCTCCCTCTCTCCCCTCCCCCCCTCCCCACCTCCCCCCACTCACCACCCCCCTCCCTCCCTCCAGAGTTCGACCCCGCCCCTGGCGCGTCCCATGGCCACTAAACCCATTCCCCCATTCCCCCCATTCATTCCCCCCATTCATTCCCCCCATTCCCCCCATTCCCCCATCCCCCCATTCCCCCAATTCCC